CTCCGTTCACCCAGGCTTCGCCTCTTCTGCTGCTCCTGGGGGTGGGTTGTGTCGTCCGAGCCACGCCGATGGGGAACCAGCCCTCCAGCACAGAGAAACCAGGGACACAAGACCATCCCCAATTTATTCACATTGTCCACCGCTCTATGTCTTCAGGGGGGCTTCCCCACTCACTCTCTAGATCTTCTCGGTCCCTGATCGCACGCAAAGAGCCCACCACGTCCGCCGAGCTGTGAAAATGCAGATGGCTGCAGGCAGGCACATGATGAACTCCGGGTGGCTCCTGTTAATATTCGTGCATCTTCCCCAGATTGTCCCACCTCTCCAGCATGAAGCACATTTGTAGTGACACGCGAATGCATTCCGAGGTTCATCTTGATGCATTTACAACACTTGGTTGCTGTGAATAGATTTAGGGAGACAATTTCACCGCAGATGGAGATGGCACTGCAGAAGCGAAACCCAAGAGGCTCTGGATAACACCCTCATCCTGCCGAAGAGGTGGAAGGGGGTGTGTGTGTGCCAGAGGCTCGACTGGCTGGCACTGGGCTGGAGAACTCCAAGGTGAAGCACTTTATTCCCTTGCATGGAGCCCTTCTGCCTCAGACTGCCTCTGTGGGCAGCAGCGTCTGCCAGAAAGGTTTTACCCATCTGCTACTAACATTAATAAAAAGGCTGAAAAGCGCTGCGGAAGGGCCAAGCTCCACTCTTGCTTACACCAGCGAGGAGCCAGGCAAACTGCGGCGGGGCGGACTGCTGCACTGGGCACAGGCAGCATCTCTTAGGGATTTCAGTCTTTCGGAGCTGAAGTCATCTTGAACTTCTTCAGATCAGCCGTTCCTCCTCTCTTGGCTGGGTTTGAACTATTGGTTAAATATCCTTCCCATTTAGCAAGTGGGAAAACACGTCACGGAAGGTTCTCAGCGCTTTTTTTTTCCTGGTTTCCCTTAGGCAATGTAATCTACACATAGTTCTTGGTTGCTTCTTTCACTCTCTTTAAAACCTCTTTTAACAGCTTGCCTCTCTGCCAAGAGGTTTACAGTCCATTAAAGCGTCAGGTAAGGTGATGCAGGGCCCCTGACCTCTAGATCACCATTTGGCATCCAACACGGACTGGAGGCAACCAGGCGCCGCCTGGTGCACCCGTGACTTCCCCGTGCTGCGTGCAAGGTGCTTCCCTCCGCATGGCTGCTGAACTAAGCCAAAACACCCCCCCAAGTTACTTCGTTTGGGCAGAACCCCTTTCCTAGGAGATCGACAACCCGCTCCCACGGTACAGACAAGTTTTTGATGCCGCCGTTAAACAAGCATCTACTATGGGAAACAAACCTCTCCCATAGCCACCCAGTTCTTTAACCTTGGATTTGCTTGACCGATGAGCCAGAATAGCAAGGGCCGGCGCAGTCCCTTGCATGAGGGAAACCTTTGCAAAGAGCCTGCACCGAAGCTAGAACCTCAGAAATTAAATTAGCACAACATCAGTGAACCACTTGACAGAGTTCTCTTTCCTACAGTCACCATATTCGGCAAATGCCTCCCAAAGGGCAGGACAGGTATTTTTAAACAGCTGTTAAAGGTTGGCAAAGAACACCTGGACAGGGCAAATCCCACCCACGCTACTGCAAACCTGCCAGGCTTGCTACAGCATTTGAGGAGCCTGCAGAATCAGAAATCAATTTGCAATATCACGGAAAGGACGCTGGGTCTAATAAAGGTAAGGAAAAACATATCCTTGAAAAGTTAAGCCAAAAGCCATCTCACAGGTAATTGCATCCACAGCTGCAGACAGATGCCACAGCCAAACCCAAACATGCTCAAGCACTGAGGAACCTTGTGTTTGGAACCAACACAAGGTTTGACTCAGCAGCTTGAGCACAGCCCCAGTTCAGGCAGAGGTTTTCATTCCTGTAGTGGGTGACCTCCACCCCATGTCCTCGGCCATGGCATCAGCAGAGGTGTCACGTGGAGAACGCGCCAGGGATGGACTTGGAACAGAAGCTGCAGCAGCAGCCGAGGAACTGCAGAGGCCACGGCCAGGCGGCTTTAATGTGCACCTCGCACTAAGTGGTATTTTTGCCTTCTAAACTTACTCGGTTGAAAATGTATCTGTTTTGCGCTATTTAACCTTCCCCATTGCCAGCTGCTGGTCTTAGGTCATTCACTTTTCAATGAATTAAAAATAACTTTCCGTGGGGCAGTGAGGTATTTTTCAGATGGCACCTGCTAGCAAATGCATCACCTTGTCAGCAAAGCTATCTGAAACACCGGGGCCGGGCACCACGAGGCTCCTCCAGCCAACCCGGCCCCATCACCGTCTATTCTGTGCCTGCGGGACAGGGGATGCAGGTCCACAGAACTCCCAGCCCTCCCGGACTGACTGTTTGCTCATGCCCGCCATCAGGATTTCAGATAAGGGTAACAGCGGAGCCTGGCTAACAAAAAAAACCCCTAACAATTAAAAAAACCTCTCGTGAGCAGGAGGATTCAACCCAACCCCAAACCCACCACTGTCCACGGGAGCATCACCCCCAGGCACCCATGGGCTGGGCTCCAGCGCCTCTGGGTAGTGACAGCAGGGTGGCATGGTGCAGGAAAGCACCCCCGAGGGGGAGAAGGGAGGAGGTTACAGTTCAGGAGCACAACACAGCATCAGACCCTTTCTGAAGGCATCTCTCAGCGAACTTGAGCCCCTCCAGTCTGGTCGGTCACGGGCTGCTGCCTGCGCATCCCCACCCACTGCGCTGGAGAGACGCGACAGGGTGATTATTAATTAAAATTCATGTGTATTCGCATTGAAATGATCAATAATTCACGTCCGCTTCTCCTAAGGTTCCTACAGATGGACTTGAAACAGAAGCTGCAGCAGCAGCCGAGGAACTGCAGAGGCCACGGCCAGGCGGCTTTAATGTGCACCTCGCACTAAGTGGTATTTTTGCCTTCTAAACTTACTCGGTTGAAAATGTATCTGTTTTGCGCTATTTAACCT